TTGTAGTCTGTGCCTTTCGCCTGGCTTGTAGAAGAATCTTACAAACGAGAAGTTGATCAATGCCTGCTTTTGTCCCAATAGCGTGCACCTGTGACATCATGAAAGATGACTGTTATGACGCCTTTGGTACTCTGTTTCAGCGAGCTAATATTTCAGACACCATTGTGGTTCCCAGAGATTTGAATACACAAGTGGACAGTCTTAATGCGTCTGAGAATCAATCGTGTAGTCGACTTGGAGTGAATGCGTTAGGGCTGCTCCAGCTGTATGCTGACCGCTGACTGTTCTTATGTCCGAAATCGCCTGGCCCCTTGGCGTCCAGAAACAGCTTGCCAGCCACGGACCGAAATTGATTGTATCACCAATTCCTGGTGGTGTTGGTCAATTACCAACTACACCTTTTCCTGGATTCCAAACATGCACTCTTCTGGAATCGCTTCACCTTTCACTCTTGAAGGCCATCTAAGGAACGGGGAACTCGTTTAGCAACTGATGGACATAAACGAATTGAATTAATCAGGACCGTCTCCGTGACTTCTCCATGACGACTTCGCCGTCGGATCCCAGTCTGCACCGGAACATGACCACATCTTTTTTCACTGCTGAAGAGTTTTTCAATTAACTACGTTTACTAATACAATCAAATTTTGTGTTTATTACGAGACACTCTGTATACATAACACTGCACTCATCATTCGTGAACCTTTGCATTATTTCCATCTTTTGCCTTTTTTGTGAATGAGCTTCTCCAAACTCTTCTTCAACGAATCGGTCTTTGCGGATACCGACGGGTACTTCAACCTTAGACACCGATGGTTCCAATTTTGCGATGACGGTTCCCACAGGAAGGATAATTTTTAGTGAGTGTATTTTCTTCCTTCAAGATTTGATTTCTTTCCGCTCAGAGCACAATGAACGAGACGGAGTTAACGTGAATGAACAGGCTNTTGTAGTCTGTGCCTTTCGCCTGGCTTGTGGAAGAATCTTACAAACGAGAAGTTGATCAGTGACTGTTTACAGTGCCTGCTTTTGTCCCAATAGCGTGCACCTGTGACATCATGAAAGATGACTGTTATAACGCCTTTGGTACTCTGTTTCAGCGAGCTAATATCTCAGACACCATTGTGGTTCCCAGAGATTTGAATGCACAAGTGGACAGTCTTAATGCGTCTGAGAATCAATCGTGTAGTCGACTTGGAGTGAATGCGTTAGGGCTGCTCCAGCTGTATGCTGACCGCTGACTGTTGTTATGTCCGAAATCGCCTGGCCCCTTGGCGTCCAGAAACAGCTTGCCAGCCATGGACCGAAATTGATTGTATACTGGTGGTGTGGGCCAATTACCGACTACAGCCTTTCCTGGATTCCAAACACGCACTCTTCTGGAAGGCCATCTAAGGAATGGGAAACTCGTTTAGCAACTGAAGGACTCGCTGATCCTGAAGTTAAACGAATTAATCAGGACCGTCTCCGTGACTTCTCCATGACGACTTCGCCGTCGGATCCCAGTCCGCACCGGAACATGACCACATCTTTGCTCACTGCTGGAGGGTTTCACCTGTGGTACGGCAATGCCAGTTCCATCCAAGCAATGACTATCAGACAAAACAGTCGCGCACCCTGAATTTCGAGGAAAAGGTACCCCAAGTTCCGGATGTAATTCAGCCCTGCAAATTATCGTACGTCAAGTAAAACTCAGTGTGAGTGTGGAGCGCTAAGGAAAATGAGAGGATAAGAATGCGGAATAGGGAAGGTAATTTGGACTGATCATGCGAGTGGTACCCAAAGACAGCTTCTGGAAGAAACTGTAGTGGATCGAACTGGCGCGATGATCTTCAGTAAAGACTACTCAACAGTTGGGTCGGGCAGTTAAACAATTCTGCTGGTCACTAATGCTACTCATTTGGATTTTCGAACTGAATCAGAACCCTGGAGAATGAACCTGAAACATCCATAATCCCTCAGAGATTTGGGGCTGTATATGTTCCCTCAGGTTCCACTGAACCGGATAGCCCACACTCGGATTGTTCAGAGATGGAATTGAAGCCATCAGTCGGTGTTTATCTGATCTGTTTTCTCTCACTTAGGACAAGTTATTGTCCAGTAAATCTAGAGAGAGTGGATCATGATGCCAGTTTTGAGAAGAGGTGTCCTTACTCAGTGCGACACTCAGAGACAAATCAAATTGATCTCATTTATAACGAGACCCTTGGCTTGACTTATCATCTATCGCCTTAGAGTTCTCCGTGAACACTAGCTTGAGAGCAGCCAGTGTAGAGGTTGTGTTTACCACATCTTCCCGCTCCGACAGGTGACAGAACAGCGTGAAACATGTAAACGACCCACACTTCGTGGTATACCCCGATTTCCAAGGAGCTTTTCACCGGTCTGTTTTCACTTACACGCTTGCTCAGGATCTTTGCATTCACAGATTTGCGCGCTCGTGAAATTATGCAGGGAGTTCTCTAAAAAGTTCTATACAACAAGTGGTGTCTGACATAGCTACCCATTCTCTCCATTCGTAATCGTTTTCGGGATCGATGAGGTAATCAGGCGAATATTGGGAGGCCTTCGAAACTCTTTCATATAAGTGTTGACGAAGGCCTTACTGAGCGGAATATGCAGACGAAATCGTTTCCATCTTTGAAGAGGAAATGGGAACCATTTAAAGGCTTCACTTCCTTTGGCATATGCAATGCATGTACAAAGTATGAGGGTATGCTCATGGACACACAGTCACTGAACATGCCGCTCGCAATGCAAGGAGAGGCACTCGAAATTTCAGAGTGGTTTGATCAAATAAGAGATAATCGTTCGGCTGTAACAGCCTTTAAGTACCCAGCTGACAATATACCCAAAAGAAACACGAGGGTTGAGATAATACCAGGTTGCCCAAGCCTAGACAGGGGAAGTCGAGATGCAGAGGTCGGGTTCGAACCATGGACCTTCCGGTCAGTAAATTGGCGCTATAGAACTTCCAACATATCTTGGAAGTTCTGATCGAATCGTCACGGATGAAGTGAATGCACTAATATTTAAGGCTCGGTCGCGTTTGCTAAGTTTGGGCACATGTACCTGGATCTCAAACGAAGTATGTCTGAAACTAGGATGCGGTCTTTACGCTTGCGTGTTTGCAGTTTATACTGTAGTGCTCGGTACTGTATTTAGGACTGGATATGTGATATGACTGCTACCTGAAGTCTATGATGGTCACTGTCTTTCTACGTTTTCAGTAGGAGGTGATCACGGAGTGAAATTCAAGCGATACACAACTGTTATCTGAGGTTAGGAACAAGGACAAATCTCATTTGTCAACCATGCTAATCATCACGAGAAATGAAACTCGGGAAATGGCTTTCGCTCTTCTTGACTGGCGTGTCTTTGATCAACATATGGCGCTGCGAGGTGGACTCAAAAGGCTGACCCAAAAGAGTGACCTGTTGCACTTTCGAGGTATTAGTGTCCGTTATGTGGCCAATGGTTTGATAATAGACTGGTTCATCGTGACTGGCGTCACCAAAGATTGTATGCTGCAATAGAGAAAGTTTTCGGTTTCACAGTGAGCCAGTGAAAAAGAAAGTTTTTAAGTATTCAACTGGAACTCCTATCCCGTACTCATTACAACAAAACCAGCTCAATTTTTAAACAAGATTAACCACCCGTTTGGGGACCTGAACCCTACACTCTAGAACTGCCAACCGAAGAGCTAGTTCGGCGGGTGACTCTATAGTGAGATAAACGGAAGACTTGTCAGTAATATCTGGTCTGACTTCAGACCTGCTACTGGATAACACACAAACTCCGTCGTGTTAACTAGAAGAAGTCAAGCAGTCTACGTTGTGGGCTTCCCTACTCGGCAATAGGGACTTTTGTCGGTGATTTACAATTCGCTGTCTGATTCCTTCATCTTATTAAAAGTAATGTTTACCTCATTCACGGATGGTTTAATCTCCGGCTTTGCGTTCTGTAAACCAACCACAAGCGAATGTTTGCAGTGGACTCAGGGAGGCTACAGAAAATGATGCTTCCAATGTAGACTACTTTGCAACGTTGTCATTTGAACGCATAGCATACATTTGTTTGTTTTTTGTATACCACAGCTGGTGATGCTGCTCCTAAAAGCATTCCGGATGGCCTAGATTGGTGTCTGACCGCAATTGTAAATCACACTGAGCCAAATATTTTCGCTCCAGCTCTTTGTCAAAACTGGGTTGGCTAAATTACTGGACGGGTCATTCCTCTTCTCGAAAGCCGCTGCGCACTAGTAATCACAGTTTTGCTACTGATCACACCCATGTGTTTCTGTTTTGTACTTTTATTCCTCAACCGATGACCAGTTCAGTTGCGATCTACAGGGCACCTGGCAAACAATTTACCATGATAAACAACTGTCAGATGTTCGTTTTCAGGCGCACTGGTGTTGAAGAATGGTTGCAATGCATCAAGTTTTGATGGTGTTTGGCCTCTCTCCTCACGTGATCGATTCGGCCTACAAATTAGTTTGGATTGAGCGGTGAAACTACTTGTTCACACCTGACATTTGTTCCTTGAACTATCCGTAACTAATAATCGTCACGTCATCATTCTGGTGGATTGTAAATTGCATGATTCAACCTTAGCCATGATTGGAGGGTTAGTTTGGAAAGTCTGTAACTAGGACTCCTAGTTAGCCAACTGTAGCTATGAAATTCCAAGAAAATCATCCGTCGAGCCCGATGTTGTGTAGATAGTTTTCGGCAAAGTACTGGGGCACATCAGTGAAGAAACCAAAATTCGTTACTGATAGTAGCTTTTCTCATAAGGATGCATGGTATGACCGTGCCACACAATTCCCATAACATGTCCGTCATATCTAAGAGCATTAAGCTCTTGGATATGTTGTTTTATCCAGGACATTTACGCTAGTGTGGTTAATAACTCTTTGACAATAATAGCTGAGAACTAAGAGAAACTATCAAACGTGAATAACGCTCATTCACCTTTGCTATCTGGACTTTCATGAACAGTCGAAAGTTCGTGCCTTCCAGCCGAACTGTGGTTAACAGCCACACAAAACAAGTCACAATGCCCCATCCATCTAAGGATCCACTCTCTTAGGGCTCTCTCTCTCTCTCNTCCCTTAAGGATCCACCCCCTAAGCGCTCTCTCTCTCTCTAATATATGACCGTCTATTTTTTTATTGGTGTTTACAGGTGTTAGTTCGCCTCCCTTGTGTCGATAGTTTCTTTGATGCGACCGAAAGTTCTTGACACGCCGAGGCTGCAATACAGCGCATTGCATAGAGGAGACGTCTCCCAACGTAGAAGGGCAGACGTTTTAACCCGTCTTTTGGATAATGATGTATAACTAACGGGGGTTCTCATTAAAAAATAGCACTCCACTATCTGTATTCATAAAGCACCTCGAGTAGGAAATAAGTTAGAATTATATGCCTGTTTTTACCCCATATTCGCGCGTTTCCAAGTCTCCGGATCGGAGATGTCGTTGCTGGCGATTTGGCGCCAGGATTCACCGCGTAAACGCTCAAGTTGTCATCTGTATGAAGGTTCTGGGGACTTGCAGTCTACGGGCCAGTTTTCTATCTCAGAAATTGTGTGCTGTCCCTGATAGTGAAAAAGACATTAAAAAGTTGAAAAAAAACAATGCTGTACTGACTCCCTGTTATACGCTGGCAGTAAGAAAGGACGTCTGATAGACCTCCTCGTAGTTACGATTGTGGAGTGATTGCCCGTCCAACGGAAAAATTATTCCCAAATTTTACGGTCCTTCGGAGGCATTGTTCAGGTCTTCTATTTTTTGGGACAAACCTTATTAATATGGTAAGAATTGGCATTTTCATTTCATCAATGTAAAGTCTCATCCATGGGACAAACTCAACTTGTCCTCCGAGTTTACGGTTGTTCCCGAAGATTGGTGCCGTGAGTAGTGACCTTCGTGCTCAAGGTTGAAAAAACTAAGCAGATAAATGAGGATGCTTGATAAGGAAAGGTCGATAGTGTGGGAGATTTACCTAAGTTACTTAAATCAGGTTGAGGTTGAAACCCTCGCGGAAGAGTTTGTAAACAGTGCGCAGAATATCGATGGACACTGTGGACCAGATTTAGACCAATTTTAAGTTGACCATATTTTTGTTACAAATAAAAGTGTTACGAATGAAAACAGAATGTTGGCTTTAACAGGACAACATTAAATCGACAGCATTCATATTGCTGCTCCCCTAAGAGCGAGTAAACGCCATCCATATAGAAGGTTAGTACTATTAAATTGGGTACTATATTGAATGGGAAGGTCCGGTGAGGGAGTTGGGCGACCATACTTATAATTCTCATTTCTTGTAGTGTCAGGCGCGTTCAGTAGAATAAAGTCATGAAAAATGGCCGCA